AGAGAGAGAGAGAGAGCCCACCATACAAGGCGTCACCCTTCTCTGGGTGATCAAACTCAGTCACTGGCATCAGTATCGACTGTAACTTCACCTTTCCTCCTCTCTTGTTCTGGAAAAAGGATAGAACATATAACATTAAATTCCACGTTCAACATAAAAAAGGTGAAAAAGATGAGAAAAGATAAAAGACCTACCTGATATTCCATTAGTTTCTCAGCGTGTTGCCGCTCTTCCTCACTTGCTTCCTTGAAATACCTGTGATTGGGTGAGAAGAACCCTCAAGCATTAAGGATGACAGAGCAAGAGAGAGATATCAAAGATGGATTGAATGGCTTAAGTCAGATGACATACTTTGCGAGACCCTTGAGGGCGACGTTGTCACGATCGAAGTAGGCAAACATGGCATGGTACACATAAGAAACATTGTACTCCACACTGCAAGGCACCCAACAAAGATCTTTAGCAGAGAGAAACAAAAGAATAGGAGGAAGGATATAGCAATATTATTAGATAGAGAGAGGGGAGAAACAGAGGATGCAGAAACTTTAGAAACAGGGACGGAGAGAGAGAGAGATCCATAAGCACCCATTGCAAAGAGGGGTAATGGAACAACTCTTAAACAATAAAGAACGAAGTAGCAATGAGAGACCATTTCAGGAGGAAACAAATCACAACCAAAAAAAGAGACACAGAGAGAGAAAGCCATTGGAAATTGAGAAGTTATTGAGCAAGAACAGAGAGAACAAATCACATAACCAAAAAAAGTGAGAGAGAAAGCCATTGGAAATTGAGAAGTTATTGAGCAAGAACAGAGAGAACAAATCACATAACCAAAAAGAGAGAGAGAGAGAGAGAAAGGCCATTCGAAATTGAGAAGTTATTAAGCAAGAACAGAGAGAACAAATCACATAACCAAAAAAGAGACAGAGAGAAAGCCGTTGGAAATTGAGAAGTTATTGAGCAAGAACAGAGAGAACAAATCACATAACCAAAAAAAGAGACAGAGAGAAAGCCATTGGAAATAGAGAAGTTATTGAGCAAGAACAGAGAGATACTGCCACCATAAAGCAAATAGAGAAACAGTAAGAAAACCATATAAAACAGAGAAGCAACCCGATGAGAAAATCGCATAACCACAAACGAAGATAGAAAGCCACATACGAAGATAGAAAGGGAAACCCAAGAAACAGCAAGAAAAAGAACGAATCAAATAGCCATAGTGAGAACCAGTAGAAAAACAGAGGAAGAATAAAATAAAACAACAAATACTATTCCACAATATAGAAAGAGAGCAAACTTACAACCTACACACAAGAGGGGCGAGAGAAAGAAGCAACCCATTAAACAACGGAAACAGCCACAAACAGATGCAGAGAGAGAAAACCACAATCAAAAGAACAAATAAGAGAGATAAACATACTTAATCTGCTCATAAGCAGAAAGAGAGCTCGAGAGAGAAACCCATTAGAAAAACAGTGGAATAAGAGAGAGAAACATACTTAATCTGCTCATTAATGGCGGCCTCAGAGTTATCTGCATACTTCTGGCGCGCAAGGGAAGTTTGCGGGGTGCTGGCGAGAGTTAGCAATTCCTTCTGAACCTCCTCAAAGGGCTCAAAAACAACACCAGTCAAAGGGCGACTGTTGCTTTCCTTCCCCATACATACAAAACCCCCCCTCTTCAAAGTAGGAGAAGCAAGAAACCCCCTCCTCTCACTAATCTCGGTTCTTGGGTTTGCCCCAACAAAAGCAGGAACTCTAAGAAGCATTTTTCCAGATCAAAATAACACAAAAAACCCGTGAATGAATCCTACTCTTCGGGATTCAACACAGCGTAAACAGAGATAGAGAGAGAGAGATTGAATAGAAGGAGATAGAGAGAGATTTTCAGTTTCTAGGGTTTAGAGAGAGAGCGAGTTCTTCTTCTAAAGAAAGAAGCGTTTACAGAGAGAGGGAACTCTCACGGAGATGAAAAAATAATCAGCGATACTCTAGAGAGAGAATATTCCTCTGTAACAGGGATTGAAGAGAGAGAAAAAAGCTCTAGAGAGGGAAAGGGAAGGAAAACCTAACTATGTGGGGGAGAAAGAACAGTGACCTGTGGATTGGAGTGGAGAGGCGACGATAGATATAGGGAGATTGTCAAACGCAGGCTTGAACCTCTTCTCCGTCTCCACCGGGCATCCTTCGACACGTGGGCGGATAGGATTTCGCCGCGGGTCTGAGCGCGTGGTTGGCTCGTGCCCTATCCGCTGACACTTATGCCGCTGGCATGCCTCAAAATATCTTCACTTCTAATTTTTTAAACTTTAATTCCCATATTTAAATTTATTTAAAATTTACAGCAAGGGAAATTATTAGGGTTTTCTATGTAAAGCGTTTCTACGCTTTTTCTAAAGCATAAACGTTCTACCCTCTACCTACCATCGAGCCGTCCAATTTTGATAAAGAGAGGTACTCATCGTTGAATTTAGATATGACATCTTAAATTATTTTATTTTTAGTTTTTTTATAAAATTATATAAATATAAAATTTGTCACATGTTATCTTTTCATTATGGTGCACTTATAAAAAATATTAAAAATAATTTTTTCGATAAAATATAATGACCAAAATATCCTTTGAACCTTTCAAAGGTATTTTGGTCATTTTATTTTATTAAAAATATTTTTTATATATTTTTTGCTAATGAAAGTTTAATAGAAGAATGGACGTCCAAAATTTGGTGTCAAAATAGTTTATAAAAAAAACTAAAAAAAAATAGTGTAGAAACATGACATTCTGATTAAGGCAATCTTAACCCTCCATTCAAAATCGACGGTTAGATAAAGGGGAGGATAGAACTTCTATATTGTAGAGAAAACATATAAAGCTTGCCCATTTTATATTGTAATTGGTTAGGTTAGATACATGAATTTTTACACTTTTTAAATTTATAAAACTTTAATTCCAAGATTTTAGCTTCTTCAATTTAAATCAAATTTAAATTTAGTTAAAATTGATAACGAGGGACATTATTAGAGCTTTATTTTGTATTTTGTTAGGTTAGATACTTGAATCTTTAGGCACAAACATTTTCCACTCTTAATTAGGCAAATACATTTTACTCAAACAATGTTGGCTTCGACTAATAATTTGTTCTTTTTTTTTTCAAATAATTTTACTCTATGTTATTAGTTTATGGGATATGAAAATTGTTAAATTCGAAATGAGTATATTTGGAAAAATTTAAATGTGGTACCAATGGATGATAAAACGTAAGGGAGGAGACTTAAGTGGACTGGCAATGTGTGGTGCAAATCTATTGCAATACATGTTAAAATGTGCTAGTTAATTTAAATGGAAGGCTCAAAAAAGGCAAGAGGTAGGCCAAAAGGATATGAGTAGTGAGAAAGAGGACTAATGGTCTCACTGAGGGTATGACCCTTAATAGAGCATAATTGTGTACTAAGATTCGTGTTGTCGACCCCAATTAATTGGGAAAAGGCTTTGACGATGAAGATGATGATGATAATGGATGTGAAAATTGCTAATGACACTGAGTTGTGTGCTTTCATGTTATATTCACTCAGTATAAAAAAAAACATTTATATAGAGCCTAGGCTCTAAATAATTAAATTGGAGCCTACCTCATAATTTTCACTAGAAGAGGTTGTTTTGATGCTTAGATATCTACAAATTGATCATCTCGACATGAAGATGCATAGACATAAGAAAAAAATGGATTTCAAGTTTTGAAAATAGTGCATATTGTAATGCATTTTTTGACCACTAATTTTCAATATTTTTCAAAATTTCATAGATCTGCTCAATCTACACTATTTTTAAAATTTTAAAGTTTATAATTGAAGATGAAAGTATATTTTAAAGCTATCACAAATATTTCCAATATTGAAACCACATTTCTTGACAATATTTGAAGGTGGACTCTAATATGATTGTTTAGAATCTCTGCTCTATACAAACTGCACCCTAGTATAAAATATGATCAACATTGATATTTTTTGCTTTCTTAATATTTGTTTAGGTAAATATATTTTTTGCTCTTATAATAAACTAGTCAAAGTGATGAGATTGAGATTTGGCTAGACCTCATACTCCCCCAATATCATATATGGGAGACCAATAAAAACACATTTTCCTTACCTAGTAAAAAACTCATCTCCTTATCGTGAATTACAACAGTAAACGCCTCGTCGGGTCAAAAGAAAAATACCAATTTTGGAGGGAGGAGGATGCCCCTTTTTAAATGCTCTACGTTGATGAAGTGAACCCAGGATCTCTTTACAAGTGAGGCACGGTGATCTCTATACATAAACAGGGCTTTTAATGCCATGGGCCCGCTGTATGTGTGGGTTTTGAAATGGGCTCTTTCGGGACATGTTTGGGTTGAGCATGTTGAGGTCCAATATTGGAGTAAGACCTAGCTTAGTTATTATCATTATTATTTAAGATTTATCGAGTTATTTGGGGTATATTATATGAATTATGTTTTTTTATTTTTCTGTATCAAAGGTCACACTTTATTGTAAGTCTATATATCTCTTCTCACTACTTCTATCTCATCTTTTTTGGCTTCTCATTAGTTATTTTAGAGCTTTTGACTTGAACCAAATCGTACTTCCTAACTAGTGTTGTATTAAGTTTACACTGCATATGACGAACCCATTTAAGGCTATTTTCTCTCATCTTCTGACCTATTGAAGCGACATCTAAGTTCCTTCATATGTATTTATTTCAAATTCTAATATTTTTTATCTCACCACTTATTTTTCTCAACATCATCATCTCATCTAAGTTCTCAACATCATCATCTCAACTGTGTTTATCTTATGGATATATTGTTTCTTGACGGCCCAACATTTTATCTCATAAAAGCATGGCTAGCCTTATAACTTTCTGATGCAAAAAAAAATTGGAGTTTATTTATTTTTATTTTTAATTAGAGATAGGAAGAGATAAATTACGAGGACCTAGTTGGGCACGTGACTTGTTTTGGGAATGTCTATCATTTTATTTTAGAGAATAACATAAATATAAGGTAAAAATATTTTTGTTTTGGAAATAATAAGTCGTAATTATCTTTTGCTCAAATGGGAAAGTTAGAAAAAGATAAAATAGGGATGGCACGTTAGAGAGAGAAAAAGTGAGAGAAAACAGGGAAGAGGGAAAAAATAGGGAAAAGAGATTGAGAGAAAGATAGGGAAAGTATACTAGAGACTTTATTTTATTTGGGATTCTTTTTTGGGTGCAGTTTGTATAGAGCCTAGGCTCTAAACAATCAAATTAGAGCTTACCTTCAAATAGTGTTGAGAAATGTGGTTTTAATACTGGAAATCTTTGTGATTGCTTTAAAATATATTTTTATTTTTATTTATAAAGCTTAAATCGTCAAAAATAGAATAGATCGAAATATCTATGAAAACTTGAAAATCTTGAAAATTGATGGTCCATAAATGCGTTACAAAATACATTATTTAAAAAACTTGAAATCCATGTTTTTCTCATATCCATAAATCTTGATGTCAAGATCAGCAATTTTAGGATATTTGGGCATCAAAACAAGCTCTTCTAGTAAACTTTTTGTGGTAGGCTCCAATTTGATTGTTTAGAGCCTTCGCCTCTATATAAATTTTTTATTTCTTTTTTTTGTTATTTATTTATTGTATTTGAATATTTAAAGGGAAGAGGTACATCATTGTAAAACATATCAAGAATGATAATTGAGTAAATTTGATCTTGTGAAAAAATTTGCATTAAAAAAAGTTGATATTGTGAAAAGATATTGAATTGAGTAAAGCTCATATTGTGAAAAGATCATTTTTTGGGTAGATTCCATTACAAACCTTGAGAGAGGGTTTACTCTCTCAACCCTTTTGTTTTGTTTATTGTTATCATTCCAATTTATTTTCTCTCGGCATCACTATCCTTTGGAACTTTCCCTTCAATATCAATAATATGCACTGATCATATAAAACTCTACTTTTGTTTTGTTTATTGTTATCATTCCAATTTATTTTCTCCCGGCATCACTATCCTTTGGAACTTTCCCTTCAATATCAATAATATGCACTGATGATATAAAATTCTAAATGCGCATCTCCTCTTTGTTCATCCAGCTCTAATTTTATATGACATATCGTCCTTAATCTCTCAATTATCTTGAATTATCAACCCGTCTTATAGACTTGACCCAAAATATTTTTAAAAATATTTTCTGAGTACAATGAGCTAGCTGTATTTTGCCAAACTTGAATTTTTTTTTAGTAATGATCTTAGAGGATCCTCCCCCACTCATGTGTGTAGGACTCAAAAGGATTACTATTAAATTTGACATATATTTATAGAAAAGTCAAGTCTCATATATATGTTATAATTTTTATAGAGATCCGTACTAATTTTAATGGTTATCTTTTGAAGATCTCAAATGATTTTCATTAAAATTAACACGAATTTCTAAAAAAATTACCATATGAGTGTAGGACTTGACTTTTTTATAACATTTCAAAAAAGCATTTCTCTTTTAAATATATCAAATAAAAAATATTTCATGATGTAGCCCTTCCTTGAGCTCGGGGCCTCACGCTGTCCCGGACCCGTGCTCGACCATGGGCCTTCCCAAAGAATCATACGAATGATGGAGAGCAATCCCAATTTTACAAGTCATTAGTTTGTCTTTTATGCTTCGGATTTGAAATAGAAAGAGACATAACCTTTCCGTGGCATTAAAGTTTTAGCTTCTTGACTTATCCTTGTCCACACGAGCGAACAAGCAGCGCTTGCACGTATCTCACCCTTTATCACATGGGAGAAAATATGTATACCCTCCGGGACGATGATCTCTGGTCATGGTTCCTTAATGCCGTTTAAGAAAGAAAAAATAATTTAAATTTTAAGTTTAAAAGAGATAAACTCTTTAAATATTTAAAAACCTTGAGAGAGAAAATGACTGATGGAAAAGAATGTCGGTTTGCATATTTGGGGTATTTTAAAAAGGAAAAAATTTATACAAGGATGCAACCTCATAATGTAGAACTACGTATACCTCTCAAAAATCTATCGAAAAAGGTCGTTTTAATGTTTAAAAACTCTTTGATTGGTCATCTCGACATCGAGATG